GGGATTGTGTTGTCTTTATTATACCTTGTCTTTTTATTTAAAGATAATCTAACTTTTGTTAAATAAAAGACAGATTTTAAGATAAATGTTGTTCTTCTTAAAGGAATCAAGTTCAAGCAACTGTATTTATATAAATGTATACGTTGTTAATAAATTAAGAAAATTTTGAACAATTACTACCTTACAATCATTCAAAATTATTATAAAACATAAATTTTAAAAGTAAGATTTCCTTAATATGCATTCCTAAACCGCTTATAAGTCCACAAATCCCAGCCTAACTTACTACGAAGATATTATGTTTTAATCATACTCGAAGCTCTTGATTACAATTATAATAACAATCCCAGTTAAATTATAATTCAATAACTCATTAAGTAGTGTTATTTTCTTTAGAGATCCTAAGTTTAATCAATTACGTATGTAGGTATGCATACGTTGTCAATAACTAATTTTTTTATTGATATTACCTTATGATTATCCTATAAACTATTAAAAGAATATAGTTCAATCAAGTTTTACCATCACATTACTTTCTTGCCCAAAACGAATCAAACCCAACCAACACTAATGATTTTGTTTTAAAGTTGAGACTAATTTGATGTAAAGTCGTTCCGTCCTGACCAAAAATTGAACCAAAAAGCTAAAGTTCCTTAATTTAATAATTTTCCGTTTGAGATAAAGGCATGTTTAGTTTTGTTAATTGTGAACCCTAAAAGTTTAAACAGGCTTACTCAGCTGCAAAACCTGCGCTTTTGTTACTATACCCGTCTTTAATTTTAATCTCTAAAGAAAAAAACCATCTTTAATATCATAAATATTAGTTTAACCAATTAATTCAATCTTATTATTCATTCTTTCGTTGTTACATATTTATCTTAATCGAATCTCAACTATTTTTTTATTTAATCTTTTATATTCCTTTCGAATCTTTTCATTTTGTACATCAAAATCTCTATAAAGAATTCACTTTGAAAAAATATCTCTAAACATAAGATATGAGAGATTTAGAGTCTTACACTTCTAAAATTACAATTCCCTGACAGAACCCCTGACAGGTCTCATGTGATGTTTCAGAATTAATTTACAATTGATCATATTAGCAGGCTTATCCATCCGATTGACCTATAAATAAACATCATAAACCTAATCCCAACACAAACACCAAAGTACAATATTTAAGTCACAAAATATAATTAAAAAAAGCTCTCTCAAGATAAAAAAATAAAAAAAAAGGAGAGGCATAATCCTCCCTACAAAGTCCAAACATCTCTAATATTTCCATATTTAAATTTTTTTATTAACGATTAGTAATTGTTCTTTTATTAATTATAATTCTTCGTTTAAATTATAAAAGGTGAACCATTTATAATTATTGTGTTCACCTTTGTCTCATTGTTGAATTACTTAATTTAACCGATTGATCAAATTATTCATCTTTATTTTTTTTATAACTAAGATTAATCTTCTTATTTTCTTCTAGAATCTTCTTTTCCCTCGTGTAATTTTTTTTATTTACCCCAATGGTGGCTCGTGGCATCCGAGCGCGGCAATCCAGGCGAAGACTAGCCGTGGAGACTACAAATACCCAACTCTCTCAATCTCAATAATAGGGTAATAAAACTATAAAGTTAGCCATTAGGACTTTTGTATTGAGCTGTGTGTGTGGCTTACATCTATGTATGTATGCATGCATGAATGATGTTCCGTTTAATAAAATAGCATCCAACAATGGCCACCACACACACAGACAAACAAACCCCATCACTCCACTCACTTTCTCTCTCGTTCATGGCAGAATAATACGAAAACTCCGAGAGCATTGGAATTCGAGATAGTGGAGTTATTTGCATTCCCCACCAACATTTCACCATTCACTTTTAACAAAGCTATGGGTTTAAGTAACATCTTCATTTTAAAATAAAATATTTAATACCCAAATTAACAAAATTTTCAAGGCAAAAAAAAAAAGAAAAACAAAAAAGCTTTGATCTCGCCTTTATATACGACCCACCATGTTCCCTAATGCATATATCCACACACTCTTTCTCTCACCAAGCTATTTGCCGTCTTTCCCTTTAGCTACATATATATTTTCAGTTTTCACTTACTTATCCATTGATTGTACGAAAGATGATTGCCAGAAGCCTCCAAGAAGTTGTTGATACGTACCGAAAACATAAGGGAAGCGGTGGTCGGAGCTGGTGCCGGTGGCATGACGACGAATGGTTGGTTTTCAAATATGGGTGAAAGAGGATGGTGGAAAGAAAACAAACAAAGCTTTGCATTGCGCTCTCCTGAGTTTCTACTAGGGAAAGGCGCACCATTGCATTGCGGGGAATTGAGGGTCGCGGTCCGATTTTTACTTAACTCTCTCTAGTCCTATATTATATATATATAGCTATTTTCTCTTTTGCTTGTTTAATCTCGAGTCATGTACTTTTACTTAGTTAGGGTTTAGGGTGTATGAGATGAATGTGGGATGTAAGTGATGCATACCTGGTAGCTATAGCTTCTGTCAAGGTTTGTTCTTGCAGTGAGTTTGGGGTTTGGATAGTTCTGAAGATAAAATGCTGCTGTGAATGCATTGCTTACACCTACTACCATGTATTTTGCTTTCTAGTGAGCTAAAACTACAAAATATGAAGATATAAAATCCAGTGTTTGCTTTACTTTTTTTGTTTGCCACTAATTGTAGTACTGTAAATACTAGAAATATCGCAACTTGAGTTCAACTCGGTTCGAGCAGACTAGACTCGAGCTTCAATCGAACAAGAATTTTTGAATCAAGTTCAACAATACTTGAGTTAGACAATGCTGGTCTAGGGTCCTAATTGGAGTACATTTGAGGTTTCTATTTGGTTGGAGGATGGCCAAATTGCCAAAAAGAAGTGGTAAATAGCAAACCCTTTTATTCTGGTTTCCCATCTTAATCATTGGCTGAAAAAAGGAAAAGAGAAAGGGGGGTTTGTGTGTTGGCCTGAATAGCTCGGTGATTTTTAAGAAAGGGAATGCATGGGCAGTGAGACTTGTCCTTTTCAGTAAGGGAATCACTAAGGTAGATGCTTGACTTGACTGCTGCTGTCTTTCTTTTTCTACAATGAATAAAGGAAATCTGAACTAAGCTGAAGGATTCATTTTCCTCCCCCCTTTTTGTCAATCTGTGAGGGAATCTCCTCGGCTGTCGTTTGGAACTTTTGATTTCAATGGGCTTATATTTTTCCAAGCCCATGTTATGTCTGCCAATAAGCAAACCTATGTTGATGTTCACACTTCATATAAAGTGGGATAAGGTACATTATATATTACTCTAACTTTAGCTGTTGTATCAAAATTATTATTAAAGGAAACCCAAGTGGTTTCAATGATTAAAATATATATATTTTTTAGAGATATTGAGTTTAAGTAATTGTGTATATACGGATGTGAGTGTTGTTAATGATTAAAAAAGATTCTAAAAAATTATCATTCTAGAATATTAAAAAATTATCATTAAAGTATAAAATGACATTATTGTAATATTAAATTTTAACTTTTATTGTAACTACATTATTAAACTATTAATCTATTAATAATTAGATGATATAGTGCTGACATATGCATATGTGAAAGTAAAAAACAAACTTTTTATTTTATCTCGTTATCTTCATAAAAAATAAGAGTTCATTTATTTACTTTTAGCCGTCATTAAAAATCAGCAGTATATCTTTTTCAAGCACCTTAAATATTGATAAATTTGACTTATCGTTCTTCACCATTTTACCCGTTTATATTTTTCTCGAGTCTCTTTAAATGTATAAAATTAAACATAAATAAATTTTATCATTGACTAAATTTATCGTATGACAATTAGGAGTGTAAATGAACCGAGTTTAAACGAACAATGTAATGTTCATGTTTATTTATTTATTTTGGAAGGTGTTCATGTTTGTTTGTTTGTTTTTAAGGTGTTCATGTTTTTATTTGTTTTTAAGGTGTTCATGTTCTTGTTTGGTTTGTGTTCGTTTATTTATTTTTAATGGTGTTCGTGTTCGTTTATATGTTGTTACCAAACATGTTTGGTTCGTGTTCGTTTGAATTTTTAATATTGTGTTCGTGTTCATTTATTTATTTTTGAAAATGTTCGTGATTGTTTATTTATTGTTCGCGAACATTTTGTTTAATGTTCATGAACATGTTTGTTTAATGTTCATGAACTTGTTCATTTAGAGTTCATGAACATGTTTGTTTAGTATTCATTTAAAGTTTGTTTAGTGTATGTCTAGTGTTATTTTATATGTTCAATTTTTAGTTTTATCCTTTTAAAAAATGGTAAAATTACGTCATTAATGTTTAAACTCCTTAAAATTTATGATTTAACTTTCAACTTTTATCATATATTCAATTTAGTCTATACACGCCAACATTTAAAATGTAAAAAAGAAAAAAGAAAAAGAAAGGGAGAACGGGAAAAGAAATTTATTAATGAACATAAATAAAATAGTCGATAACGAATTTGTAATCGAACAAGCTACTGTTCATGTTCATTATAATAGTTTACGAACTGTTCATCAAACATTCCATTTATGTACACTTCCAATAACAATTAGATCTATTCATTTCAAGATCGGTGTATAATCTCTTACAAAATTAAAGGAAGCTTTCTCTTTATTTCTTTTTATTTCTTTGGAACCTGAATTTTCTTGACTGTTCAATTTTTTTTTTTCATTTGATCATCTCCTTATTTTCTCATAGAACTATCAATCACGACTATCCATTTAAATAAAAAAATTTGTCTATAATTATCATAATCAATATTTTACCCTCAACAAAATCTATGGGCAAGTATTGGTTGGTTCAAAGGAGTAGTAATTCGAAGAGACGTGACCAATTATATATCGCATTTTTTATTGTATGTGGATTCCTAAAGTGCTTTTTAAAGTTATTTATATATAATTAAAATTAAATTTACCATTCCGTTAATTCATTAAGTTCCTAGAAAAATAAAATCATCAAACATGTAAATAAATAACCCACCTCCTTGTAGACCAAGATAACTACTTTCTTATTGTACAAAAATAAATACTAAAAAAGAGCATATACAGGAGAAAAAGAAGATCCTTCAAAAAAAAAACTAGATGGAAAAAGAAAGTTGAAGGTCAAAGATCTCAAAACAATTGTTGAAAGAAAATACCAAAGTTTCTAAAATTCCGAATCACCAAAATCTCAGGCCAAAGAAAACCAGGCGAACAAATCTTGACCAACGCGCCTACGCCCCTCGCTCTGATTATCGGTTTTCAGAGGGGATCGACAAAGCGGGCAATTAAAATTGAGATGCTCCAGCCACCCATCGAAGCAATCCTTATGGAATACATGGAAGCAATCCAGTTTCCTCACCTGTTCCCCATCTCTCAGCCCGCACAAGCACACGATGCAATCGGAGCCCTTGCCTCCGCAATATTCGTAGGCGAAAGCCTTGTTTAAGTTGAGCTGCTCGGCAAGTACCACAAGGGTGGCGAGGCCGGACCCTATGAGTCCGACGTCGTCGATGGCGGTGGGCTGGTCCGGGCAAGGGAAAAGACCAATCGCATGGAGGAAACCCAAGAGGAGACTCCGGAGATAGCCGATGCACTTTGCGATTACGGCTACGAGGAGAAGAGGGATCGAATCGGATGACACTTCGTTTAGCTGGCTTTGTAATCCCATGGGGGGGGGACAGGGTTTTGAATGGGAAGTGAGATATATATGTGTAAGTTGAAAAAGGAAGAGATTTTATACACGAGAAGAGCAAAGAGATGATGATGGAGAAAAGAAGAGGCTAAAGAATGGGAGATTAAGGCCATGTGTGTTGGGCTCGCTTTCTATAAATTATTTTATTTTCCTTTCTTATTTTATTATGTTATTTTCCTTACGCATTGTAATTGGTGTTTTCGTATAATATTTGGGTATTTTTAATTTTTGCATATTAGAATATTCATTTCCTGTTTGTATTTTATGTTGGTGTTATGTAATGTTTGTGTCATGTTATATTTGAACTCTGTAGTGGATTTAGGGTCAGGATGGACTGCTGAATGGATTATTCTTTACTCAAAAGAATATATAATTTATTATTATTTCTTCCTAAGTTTAAATATTATTAAAAGTCTCTAGTAAACAATATTGAATTTCGGTACTATTTAAATCTAATTCTCTATTGCATTTTAAATCAATTTTTGAAATAAAAATTATTTTTGTATTGAAAATGATAGAGAACAAAATTAAAAACATAACGTTTGAAATAATAAAAAATACTTTTTAAACTATTTTTAAAAAAAATTAAAAATTTTTAATCAAAACATCATTTAACTATCATTTAATTTTATTGTACTCCCTAAAGATTCTTCACACATGCCATCTTAACGCCTTGCAACCATCGAAGAATGACACTTTTGAATCTCCTACACCCTAAAACCTCGTAAGACATAAAGAGAACATCTCTAGAAGAATGATTTCGAATATCTAACATCCCTAAAAAATCAAGACTAACGAATAAGATTATTGACATGTTAATGTAACATATTAGAGCCAAACCTACTACCACTTAATTGTATTCACTTAATCTATCATCCTAAATGTAGCAATTATAACCATACGACCGAAACATACATTAATGAGTACATATATAACCATACGCCTGATTGTATTTGAGGGTGATGCTCCCCCACTAATACCACCATAACTAATATGGTCGGTCCAACAAATGATGTCATTTCCACTGACTATTTTTTTTTAGATTTTTGCAATTCATATTTAGCACTGGTAGGATTATTGATTAATTATATTTGTATTCATTATTTTTCACATGTCATTCATCATCATACGATCGAGACGCATCGATGAAAGAACTACTTAATTAACACATGTTGATACGTTAAAGATAATATGATATAAATGATGAAAATAAGGTGTGTCTTGTCAATTGCATCTTTCACATGAGTTGTGATATCTTTTAACACGCGAGTTATTTAAGTTTATAATATTTTTTTAATATTTTTTAAATTATTTTTAATAGAATATTTTGAAAGATGCATCTTATCAATTACATCTTTCATGTAAGTTAAAATATCTTTTGAGATCTAGTGATTGAACTGTCACTTAAGATAAAAACACGTTTTATCAGTAGTGTCTTTCTTTTATGTGTCAGATAACAAGGTTATTATAAAAATTAATAAAAAATATATTTTAATAAATGATATCTAAATAAAAAGGTGCTTGATTATATTCTAAAACTAATTCATTAAGCAATACTGAAGCGTGTTCATACTTTTGACCACAGCGCACATATAAAGCTTTTAAAGTGCCAGAATTGTGGATTAAAAGTAATTTTATACTAACCCCACAATTTATAAGGTCAAACCGACCACGTCTTGTTATATAGTTCACCGTACCAACCTCTTTTATTTTATTTTTATTTAAAGTGTTGTCTTGTGTGTACCAAACTTGGTATAAAATTTCAACCAATTAATCAACAATAGCGTGGCTCTGAAAATGTGATGTGGATATGTAAATAGAAGTTCCCAGAACTTGCATTTGCTTACATTACACTGCCTAATCTGTTGTTTTCAGTAGGTATTTCATCCACTTTTGGGCACCTAAATTCAACACTCCTATTATTTATCATTGCGATTTGATTGATTTATTTGTATAGAAATAATAGTAAGTTAAATATATGTGATTTTTAAATCATTTTTATCTAAAAAACTTAATTTTCTTATTTATGAATTATTCAGGTATTAATTTTGAGTTCGTAAATATATTTAAAATTTTAAATATATGTTTATCCTAAGTTATATAAAGTATTATTATATGAATTTAAATTAAATATTAGAGTAAATTATGTATTTAGCTATTCAATTATTCTTGAGGTTTTATTTTGATCACTCAACTATTTTTTTTCAAAATCTTACTTAAAATTACATTTTAATTTCGTTTTGGTCACTCATGTTAAAAAATATAACTAAGGATATGGTAAGTTTTTTTTCTTAATGATGATGTAATATTATTTTATGATGACACATTATCATAATAACGAATAATCAAAATGAAATTAAAATATAATTTTATGTATAATTTAGAAAAATAATTAGATAACCAAAATGTACACGCCTAATTAATTGCTGACTAAATATGTACTTTAGTCAAAACACTGTTATCTTGTATACTCGAATATGTATAAACCAGAACTCAAAATTTTAAATCACATGTTTAATAATATAATCCATTAAAAGTTAAGTGATCAATGTTTGAATCGCTTAGAAGCAAAAATATGATCAATTTAGTAGTTTAGAGTAAATATAGAATATTTGAGTTCACAATCCAATTAAATAATATGACTTTTTTTTATTAATCTATCGTAATAATAAGGTAATATCTGTTCATATATAACTTTTAATCTTTTGATATTGAATGCTCGTACCCTTGACATTTATTGAACCATGTTTTATAATATTATAATATAACAAATTAAGGCAAAAAAATTTTAGACTTGATTGAATTTGTTCAATTTTTTCAAAAAACAATTCAAAGTCTATTAAAAATAGAATTTGAACACAAAACAATTTTATGAGTAGTACCGATATTGTTCATACAATATCAATACTATATGAACAATATCAATATTGTTATATGATATTGATGCCAAAGATAAGAGAAGTATTGATATTACTAGTTGTTTTCCAAATTGTTCAAATTACATAATACAAAATTAATACGGATACTTAAAGGGTACTGACACTACTTTACACAGTGATATCGATACTTGTTAAAGGAGTATCGATAATGGTCAAGCCCAACGCTCTTTAACGGCTAGTTTATTTAATTATTACAAGGTAGTACCGATACTCATTAAAGGAGTATCGATACTCCCTATTTTGGACAATTTTATTTTTGTAGAAAATTCATCTCCAACGGCTCCAAAACACACCCAACGGTTAGAAAACGACCACAAACTCATTCCAACATATAAAAATAAATTAAAGACACTTGAAGAATGTTACAACCTATATCCGAGCAATAGATATCAAAAGAAAGCTTTTTTACTCTTTATTTTTCCTTTTCTCTTATACATATTTGAGGTAATTGCAAATCTTTCGGTTGTCTTTCTAATAAGGTTAATTATTGTAAACAATTATCTTTGTGAGGTTTTTCTTGATTACATCTTTTAACTTTTGTAGAAAGAGAGTAGTTTTCTCTTGTACATATATTATACCTATATATTTTTATTAAAATGAGTATATAATATATATAAATTATTTAAGGTATTAAATTTATAAAATTATAATATGTAAGGTTTAATATAAAAATTATATTTTAAGCATATACACCGTGATAGACGTTAAAAAATTTTGTTAAAAATTAGTCAATTAATCAATAATTGACATCAGACTTAAATTAAAAAAACATAAAATATTATTGCTTTGAAAAAGGACCTTAATTTTTTAAAATATTAGACATGTCCCTAAAATTTCTAAAACCCCCAAAACCTGCCGACAACCCCTGGCCAATCGACCCCGTCGCAGTCATCGTCACCTCTAAATCTTTATCCAACGGTCAAAATTTATAGATTCATCTAAATCTATAGCCATCTCTACTGTAGGAGAAGGAAAATCCTCATTGTTGCTTGCGTTAAAAAATAGAGTTTTTTTTAAAAACAAAACATTTGAAAGCTTTTTAGAAAGATTAAAAAATATTTTTAACGGTTGAGACCGACCAGAAACTTAATATAATAATGTTTGAAACATTAAATAACTATATTAACAAAAAAAAATTATACATTTAAATAAGAAAAGGTGTATTGTTTATTTGTTTATATTAAGCTTATATATAAATACAACTTTGAGAGATTTGGCATTATCTCTGCTGTGACCTTGATATTTTTTTTTCTTTCTAAATTATAAATACGAGTATTTTAATGATAAATAACAGATATATTCCGCAAATCTCTACCGTCCACCATGATACGCGTATCCACCGATCACACTGTCATTCTTTTTTTTAATTAATACGAAAATTGGATCTTTCAAGAAACAGCAACTTGCGTGAGATTGGAGGGCGGACCCACTTGCCTTTTCTCTCGGACCACTTAATATAAAATATTTATCATTGTAAATAACACCTTGCTAAATTTAAAAAAAAAAAGAATAAAAAAATTGTCTGTGTAGGAAATCTGTTCATGATTAAACCCGGCCCGTTATTAAAATTTAACAGAGTCGAGCCCCGCTATTTATTATAAAAAGAAACACTAATATATATTAAACTCAATCAGCGAGAAAAAAAAAAGATAATTTTTTAAATTAATAAAATTCGTTAAAGTTGATGAGAACAAATTTAAATTTATTGACGGTAAACAATTCACTCCTTTTAATTTGGACAGAGTTACTGTTAATTTAAAAAAAGACCATTGACTAGTGTTTAGGTGAAGGAAAGAATGGGCTGTGAAGAATAGGATAATCGAAGACACCATCGACCGATGAGTTGCAACGAAGACAATGGGCCATGAAGATGAAGAATAAGATATTGAAGTGGTGAAAGGTCTAATTATGTTTCAGTCTCGGTTGGAAGTATTTTTAATGACTTTTATTGCGCGCTTCAACCGTAGGGTTATCATAGTTATTTGTAATCTAAACAAGTTGGCCATATACAATACTCAGACTTTGGATTTCGTTCTGGTGCATCACGTGGACATGTTAAAGGTGTTGTTTGGGTTTTGTTATGCGAAGCAGTTGATTAGCAGTTTGTGTTTAGAGGATATA